ATAATCGTTTCAAAGATGAAATCTTCTGGACCATGTTCTTTGCCTCCAAAACTCTTCTAGCCACGTTATAATTTCCAGAACATCACAGGCTAGCAAGCGAAACTGTAGGAACATGTTCCTCTGAACTGTATTGGACCAATCCTACCAATTGTAACAAATCGACTGTAAAATTGGCGTGTATTTCGGTGAGTTGATTATAGCACGGTCTCCGTGGACCGATATATCCACGCCAGCGTGCGAACATAGGCTAACACTGTCCCTTGCTCTGCAGATATTCAGCTATCCATAGTCCTGTATGAAAGAGAAACAATAACACTGTTTAATTTGGTTACATCAGAGCTGAACTACGACGACATGAGTACAGAAACAAGCTTTTATGATACCCGGACGACACGATGCAGACGACATAAATGACCACATGGGCGAAACTAAGTTATGGACACAGAGATGCATAGAGGAGAACTGGACACTGATCTGTTAGCGGGTAAGTTGGGCAAGAGAATCGTCAAGTGTGTAGATCAAGCCTGGCTTCCCAGGGTGAGATCCAGATTTTCGAGCTTTGGAGTTTCCGAGAGTTTCGGCAATGCCGACGGCTAATGTGGCTATTCCTAGCGCGCCATTCGAAACTCATAGCCTGCGAGGACTCGTTCAGTAATCGTCAAATCTCGTTGAGCCCCATACTTCGCCAACAACATTCTACTGCAACTTTGTTCTCGCTACAATAAACTCTTGAGGTATACCATGAAGAAAGAGATATTCGGATTCATATTGAGAACGGTCCAACGAGGCCTCTAGGCTAAGACCGTCGACAAGATCCTTAACCCGAAACACCCTCACGTGTCCAGACTCGTATGGATCAATGTATATCTCCTCAATCCAACAGTCTCCTTGATTCCGAGCGATCCATCGCCTTGCCCAGTTCAAGGCGTGGCGCTGATCACCAAACGTGGAGATAAAGGGACTCTTGTATCGTCGGTGGGACCAATCGAGGTGGTTCTCGAGTGCTTTGCAGAAAATTTCAATGTGAGAAGGTGTGAAGCCACTGGCCGCTCGGAATC